TCGCACGTCGCTTGCCATCAATGTTTGTGTATATGTGCTTAGTGGAAAGGAGAAGGAAAATGATTTTCCTTCTGATGAACGTAGTGAAGTAGAAGGAAATAATGTTTTTGATGTTGCTCTGAGTGTATATCCACACCGGGCTTCACTGGCATGCTGAAAAGTTAGCCTGACCACGGTGGAAATCGAACCCACGACCTTTGGGATACCAGTCCAATGCTTTGCCAACTGAGCTACGAGGTTAAGTCGGCTCGAGTGTGTGGTTATTTCGGAACTAAGTTTAGTAACTTCAATACCAATGAATGTGTTCTTATGATAAGATATTTATGTGCGTTTTAATGTTATGTACTCAAGTGAACATAGTCAGGTGAACAAGGTCAGGCTAACTTTTCAGCCTGCCCGGTGTGGATATACACTTAGATTTAGATTAAAAACATTATATTCACTTGAGTAGATAACAACCAAAATACGCAAAAAGTGTAAAATAATCAAAATAATAAACTTACTTTAAAAGATTTGCATAAATTCTTCGCAAGAATATCGATAAATATATTATGAATGGAGAAAGAGCAAAATAATTATCAAAATAACAAGTAGTAATGCGGGCGCGTATGAGATAATAGCATAATTAGTGATAGATAAATTAACAGAAGGGTTGAAACACCGGTCACATGATCGTTCGATGTTTGCCAAGAGTAGCCTATCTAGATACTCGGAGATTTCCGATCGCAGTTTGGAAATGGCACTTCAAGCTATTTTTGATTATACAGCAATTTCTGATTATTTCCATTTTTAAAAACGTAATATTAATTGAAACTATAATCTATACCGGCGCCAACAAATCATCATCGGTATTTTTAGAATCTGAAAGCAAATCCGAGCATCTCACGAGTGCCGAAGTTCATCCGACTGGCTACTCTTGGTACACATATCGCAAATATTGCGAAGAAAACTGTTAAAAATAATTTCGGGTTAGGTTTATCTCACTGAGCTATACTACTGAAGGACCTGCTCAGCAAAAAAAAGTGAAACTAAAAACATGGTGGATTTCGGCCTTTGCTGACGCCATTTCCATGACAACTGGTCCGTATATCTCATGGTAATTACCACTGACCAGGCTCGGATATGAGCCCGCTATAATTTCCACAGTCCACACCCCCTGGTTTTTTGAAAAACTTTAGGTTTCTGCAATTTTGCTCGGGTTTTATAGTATTTTCTCGATGATTTGAATCGATTTTTAAAATGTTTTCGGGATATTTTTTCTAAGTTTGGTTATTGGTTCAAAGATGTGCAAGTCGTACGTGTTATTCTTCCCGGAAAAGACAACAAAATCCAAACCTCGTACTGAATATGAACAAAGAGGATATTTGAATTAGCGAGCTATTAACAGGTATTTCAGACAATTTATTTATGTTTTATTTTATCTCATATAAAGTAGGTAGGCTTATTAAACTTAAGCTTAACGATGAAATGCACTCGTTTTGTTAAGAAAACAGCCTTTTGCTGCGTTTTTGGTGTAATTTGGTATCTGTATATTTCAAAATTTGGTTGCAGAAACTACAACGTTTTGTTATTTATAAATTTATATTTAGAAAATGCTATTAACTCCAGACGTTCCTTCAAAGCAAACGGTATTTGTTTAAATATATTCAGGTTTTGTGTAATATCTGCCAGCTTTGCCTACAAGGCTAATCAATGTTAATGACAAGTCAACTTTTGAGTACTCAAATATTTTCCAAAATACCTGTAAATAACTCCCCCCCCCCCCATCCCCAAGAAAATGTTGCTGTGTGATGAAAAGATATTACATTGGTCATAGGGTCACAGGGTCGTAGGGTGATCGATGGAAGCTCACGTGGCACATTACTCCTATCATAACCTTTATAATTAACCCATTGAGCTGCAATGCACCCCAGTGCGCCCTGCTTATTTTTTTTTACTTGTCTAATGCCAGACGATTTTATTCGCCAGTGGGTAAGCCCTGCAGCTTAACGGGTTTAACAATTTGGAACACCAGAAATGCTGGATGGCAATCTGGCAATTACTTAGTAACTACTGTATGTTGCTTCGCTTTCACTGGGAAGGTACTTTGTATCCTGGCCACCTTTGATTATTATACCATTAAGCCTGATAATTGCACCAATGTTTTGTTTTTTCCATCATCATTTTTGTGCTGAAAGTTTACAACATATAATATATTCTTGTTTATTCCAGAATTATCTCACAATTTTGATACCATAATTTGGCATTTGTCCTGACTCACTCTGGTTTCCCAATTAACCCATAGAGTGGCTCTCAAAATACAGGCAAAATACAGTACCGAGCAAGATGTATGGAAATTGAAGACACAAAAGCTGGATTAATTTTGAACTATTTTAATTGGACTTCTTCAATACAGTAAAATTATTCACAGTGAATAATTTTAAATGAACACTAAACTTATTGTAATTAAGTGTACATGATGTAGTGGAGTATGTGTTAACTTAATTCAAGGGTGGATCAACAGGGGTGCAATAAAATCAAGTTCAGAAACATAACTCAATGTCCATATTACTGGAAATGGCATTTCTAGGGTTCTAATTTTCCAAATTTTCTGGGGGCATATCCCTCAACTCCTAGGGAGCTTGCGCCTTTGGACCCCTGAACCCCTAGGGAGCTTGCGTCTTTGGTGCTTGAGTCGTTAGGAAGCCAATTCATTTGAATGCTCTCCCACTACTGTTACATATTTGTTTTGTTATTCTGACGTATGTTATTTAAGTCCTGTAATTACGTCATACAATGCGTTCGCGCCAAATATATGTTTTTATATTCTCTGTCTTAAAAACGTGCGTATTCAAACAGAACATGGTGTCAGGAGTGGGATTTTCGCTGCTAAAGTTTGTTTATAACCGAATTTTTATATATCTAATCGTTTGATCGTTCTTCGTTGACGTTGTGTCTCGCTTTGCCTCGAGATTTGGTAGATTTTACTTGGATTTGATCGTCATTTATGGATAAGCTTCAACCACCGCCGCCATTTTCCTTTGAAGGAAACGTATCTCATGGCTGGAAAATATGGGAAAAACACTTCAACTTGTATCTCACTGCTACTGAATCAGATTCGAAGAGCGATAAAGTGAAAACCTCCATTCTCTTAACCTGCATTGGACCCAAAGGACGCGAAATTTACGAGACATTTACCTTCTCACAAGAAACTGACAAGCTGAAACTCAAGGTCGTATTAGAAAAATTCAGTGCATATTGTAATCCTAGAAAGAATATCACTATACTTCGCCATCAATTCTTTACCTACAGCCAACACGAAGGTCAGTCTTTCAACGATTTCGTCATAGAACTTAAGAAACGAGCCTCTGAGTGTGAATTTGGGACTTTAGCTGATTCACTGATTAAGGACATGATTGTTTGTGGGGTAGCTGATCAATCCCTCCGTGAAAGACTCTTACGTGATGCGGATTTAACACTTGCCAAGGCCATTGATGCCGGTATTGCTGCAGAGGAAACCAAGCGTCACGCAAAAGAACTCGAAAAACATCAACAATCGTCAGATATTCACCAAGTTTATCATTCAAAAGAAAGAAAACTCAAAGAATCTAACAGAGCCCCTGATGACGTCATCAAGAAATGTAAGTTTTGTAATGGCTCCCACCAACGTGGCAACTGTCCTGCCTACGGGAAACGGTGTAGAACATGCAACCGTAAGAATCATTTCGCTGTTTGCTGTTCCCAAAAATCTGTCAAATGTGTTACTGAGCAGGATAAGTCCTCTGATGATGAATTTTTCATCGATATGGTTAAAGTCACTAATACCAATCAGAATCTCTCAACTGAAGGTGATGGTGAAAACACCCCAACTCCCAAATCCATGCCAACCAATGCTAGTCCCAATGTTTTCACAGTTAACAATACCAAATCAGATTGGTCTGTCACACTGGGCATGAATGGAACTGATGTCAATTTCAAGATAGATACTGGAGCCCAGTGCAATGTAATTCCAAAGCGCCTACTTTCCAACCTCTCACCTAGACCTAAGCTCAAAACAGCAAACGTCCAGCTCTCTGCATATAATGGCACAACTATCCCTGTTGCTGGTAAGTGCATTGCTCAAGTCAAACACAGGGGACAAACAATTCCCATTCTCTTCATGGTTGTAGTTTCAGACTCTGTCCCCATACTAGGATTAAATACATGTGACAAACTGAACTTGATCAAACAAGTGTATCAAATTTCAGAGGAAGTGCAATCTCATACTCCTATTGAGGAGGAATTCTCTGACTGTTTTGGAGAAATTGGATGTTTGAAGAGAACACATCACATCGAACTAAGAGATGATGTGAAACCTGTAATCATTCCTGTCAGACAAGTACATTTTGCTCTAAAGCCAAAGCTCAAAGAGGAATTGCAACGTATGGTTGAGCTCAATGTTATTGAACCAGTCGAAAAACCAACCGAATGGGTCAACGCCTTAGTCATTGTCTCCAAACCAAATGGCAAGCTGCGGATATGCTTAGATCCTCGACCCCTAAATAAAGCCATAAAGAGGCAACACCACCGTCTACCCACAACCGAAGAAATAATCTCTGAAATGTCAGGTGCTCGGTACTTTTCCAAGCTTGATGCTGCCTCCGGATATTGGCAAATAAAAGTAGATGAAGATAGCGCAGACTTACTAACCTTCGGAACTCCATTCGGGCGTTTTCGCTTCAAACGCCTCCCATTCGGGATACACTCTGCCAGTGAAGTCTTTCAAGCAGAAGTTGCCTCAATCATAGCTGATCTACAAGGTTGTGCCAACTCCCAAGATGACATCATTGTGTGGGGAACAACTAGTTAAACAAGAGCACGACCTTCGCCTCAGAGATGTACTGACACGTATCCGAGTCAGTGGATTGAAGCTCAACCGAAGCAAATGTGTCTTTGCCGTAGAATCCCTCACATTTTTGGGACACACCCTTTCTGCTAATGGTGTTAAGCCTGATCTCTCCAAAGTTGAAGCAATCGTCAACATGCCAATTCCAGAATCGAAAGGTGATCTTCAACGATTCTTGGGTATGGTGAATTATCTGGGTAAATTTGTCCCCAAACTCTCACAAACCACCACTCCGCTTCGTGAAATGCTCAAGAAAGATGTTCATTTTGACCTCCAGCAACCACAACTGGACGCCATCCAAGAGCTGAAACGTTTGGTCACTTCACCTCCATGCCTCAAGTTTTATGATCCAAACCTGCCTACTCGATTGAAACCTGACGCAAGTGCTGATGGTCTTGGTGCCCTCCTTGAACAAAACCATGGTTCAGACGATTCTCCCCAATGGTTCCCCATTGCCTATGCATCTAGAGCATTGAGGAACTATGCACAAGTCGAAAAAGAAGCCCTCTCGATTGTATTTGGAACGGAACGCTTTCATGAGTACCTCTACGGTCATCACTTCACTGTATTCAATGATCATCAACCACTCAAGTCAATCTTCAGTAAATCCATCACTCAATGTCCACCAAGAATACAGCGCTTCTTCATGAAGCTTCAAAAGTATGACTTCAACCTTGAATATTCTCCTGGCAAAACCATGGTCGTCTCAGATGCACTCAGCAGGGCCTACCTCAACAACCAATCAACTGAAATTGATCAACCTGATTTGATTCACTGTATCCAATTCACTTTCGACAATCTTTCCATCAGCGATGCTCGCCTGACTGAATTTCAGAAAGAGACAGCTTCTGACACTACATTACAGCAACTCAAGGAATACACTCTTAAAGGATGGCCACAACAACGTGACATTCCTCAAACAGTCAAGCCATACTACAACATCCGTCATGAAATTGTTTACAACAACGGCTTACCCCTCAAAGGTCAACGCATCATCATCCCATCATCATTGCGCAGCACCATGAAAGCAATCATACACCAGGGCCACACTGGCATTGAAAGTTGCAAAAATCGTGCGCGAATGTCTGTCTATTGGCCCGGAATAAACGCACAAATTGAGGATCTTTTTCTAACTGTTCACTTTGCCTAACCTAGAGAAACAAGCAACAGAAGGAAACTCTGATTCAACCTACGGTTCCGAATGCACCATGGACAAAAGTTGCCTCAGACCTGTTTTCCCTTTATGGACATAACTACGTTATCGTTATGGACTATTTCTCAAAGTACATTAAAATTGAACGACTCACTGACAAATCGAGCGCCACTGTGGTTAATAAAATTAAGAAGATTTTTGCTCGACATGGCATTCCTAAAGAGCTCTGTTCCGACAATGGTCCAGAAATACACAGCGGCATGTTTCAAACAGTTTGTCAAAGAATGGGACTTTAAACACACTACTTCAAGTCCTCACTTATCGCAGTCCAATGGTTTCGTGGAAAGAGCAATCCAAACTGTTAAGAAGAGTTTGAAAAAAGCACATGATGGCAACAAGGACCCTTACCTTGCCTTGTTAGTCCTCAATACCACTCCTGGAAACGACAACAAGTCACCAGCTGCGCGCCTCTTCGGTCGTCAACCACGTTCCACATTGCCTTCCCTAATCCAACCTGCATTTCCTCCTCCCCCTCCTTCCAAAGACACCCGAGCGAAGACAAAAGAAAGATATGATCAACACGCTAAAGATCTACCTGATATCCAACCAGGAACTGTTGTTCGAATCCGTGCGAAGGAAGATGAGAAATGGAATCAACTTGGTAAAGTCGTGGAGAAGTGTGCCGAGCCACGGTTCTATCGTGTCCTCAATGACAAACATTGTGAGACGCAACCGCCGCCACCTTATCCCGTGTAAGGACAGATTCCAGATCCGGAATGACTTTGATTATGATGATCTAGAAGTGACAACTCGACCCAGTTCTCCAGAACCACCAAACTAAATCGTCACACGATCTGGTCGAGTCGTTCGAAAACCGACTAGATATAGCTAGACAAATAAACGTTCATTCACGCAAACTTTATTAACTTTATATTTGTTTAATCTCCAACGGGAGATGTTACATATTTGTTTTGTTATTCTGACGTATGTTATTTAAGTCTTAAAAACGTGTGTATTCAAACAGAACACCCATCCTTTCAAGAAATTACTTGGCACCCCCTCAAATAATGGGAAAATAAATTCATGCCCCTCCTTGAATTTTTAATACAAATAAAAATTGATTTTACAAATACCAATCTGTTGTAAAGAAGAACATCATCTGCAGAGCAAGAAGCTGAAGCAAAACGACAGAAGAGGTCAGCTAAAACAAATGCAAGGAAATCAGCAAAATAGAAAAGAGACAGTTCCAGAGAAAGATGAAAGAAGTGATGAAGTTGCTCACTAAGGGCAAGTTCAGAAAAGACATGAAAAAAGAAGGCAATACAATTTGTCGACAGGATATCAACAAGACCTGCCAGTTGGTAGCCAGATTCCATTCCAAGGCAATGTGATTTGGCTTATAGAAGAGAACTACTTTGCTTAAGATGCCCTAAGTTTTGCCAATAGCTTGGTTGAACAAACGAAACAGCAGATTCAGAGACTAGGATAATAATGAAATGAGAAAAAAGGCGGCCTCTGCAAGAGGACAGCCTAGTATTGTAGCTCTAATTGTGTTGTCAACTTTTTGTGAACTTGAAACTAGTGAAAGAAGCTGAATATGGAAGCTGCTTTGTGCTAGACTGACATATCACATAATTAACATTTATATTTGCTTCGGTTTTGGGAAAGTGTTCACTTTTGTAACAATTTATTCAGGCCAATGCCAGATACTCTATTTGGGAGAGTGGCTGGGTACAACTATTAAAGATGCACACTTGCCTCTTTAATGGTTTATAAACTCTATAGATGTATTTTTGTTTCAGGCCCCTTTGCTTTTTATAAAATTGGGCTCAAGCCTCTGCTAGGAAGAAAGATTTTGCATCGTGACCCCCCCCCCCCAATAGCCTCCACTCATCCATTACACATACTGAAAATACTCATTAATAATTCATGAACCTTGTGGCAAATCATGTGAGCCATAATATGTCACGTGGAGTAACTTTATATCTGATAAAGCACGAGACATTATATAATTGTTCATCCTAATTAGTATGATTATATAATGGTTCATCCTAATTAGTATTCTTTTGTAGTCGTATTTTAAGCTATTCAAAACACTCGTTGTCGTGTTTTATCAGACATAAACGCTCGGCTGCGCCTCGCGTTTTATATCTGATAAAACACTCCATCTCGTGTTTTAAATAGTACTTAATGACCGCTCCCTAAGTAATGATAAATTATTATTAATAATTTTTATTTTTTGTGCATTTTTTCCTTCTTTTATTTCAAACACAAGTATACTTAGCATAAATTTTAGAGCAAATTTAAATGCTCAGAATGCAGGAAATGGCATTTCCAGGCTTCAAATTCATCTGGGGGAGTATGCCCCCAGACCCCCCTATTCATGCGTGGTATGTTGGCCACACTGGTGGCCTTCACCCATTCCTAAATATATATAATATATATATATATATATATATATATATATATATATATATATATATATATATATATATATATATATATATATATATATATATATACCGGGTGGCGCAAAAAAAAGTTCAAGCGTTTGATTTAGTACAGCGAAAAAACTATAAGTGTTACATCGCTGAAATAAACGTAGCTGTATTCATAAAAGTCTAACTTAAATTTTGAGCTATAGCATGTTTATTTACGTGCAATATTGACTGGGATATCGCCAAATAAAATTTGGAACGAACTTTTGAAAATCTGACAAATTGGCTAAAAATGGCCTATTAAACTATTTTGATAAATTTTAGAATTTCGTCAGACATATTCGCTTGTATGAATTTAATTTGAATTGAAACGTGTAACGAATGATTTTCCTTATTTATTTACTTGTTTTATTATCATTTGAAAAGCAACAAAATTTCGAAAAAGATGGCTCTTTTATTAATTAAGAATTGCTTCGCAGTATTCCATGTCCCATAGCTATAGGGAATTAAATTAGATCAACAACCGAACAATTTGAGACAGCTTCGTGAAGCGATTATTGCTGAGTGATTGCCATAACTTCGACCAGCAAATAAATCCAACGTTCGTTCGATAGTATGGTCACACGTGCAAGAATATAGTTATTTAATTTTCCATGATAAACGCGTTATTTACTGCCGTTGTGTTCTTCATATATCGTTAATTCCTTTACTCGTATTTAATAGGCTATTTTCAGCTAATTTTGGAACGTTTTGAAATTGCATATTCAAATTGATTTACAAATATCTTGGGTAATACTAAACAAAAATGCATGTGTTATACATCAAAATTTAAGTTAGGCCTTCCTGGATAGGATAACATTTATTTGAGGAACGTAACACTTATAGTTTTTTCGCTGTACTAAATCAAACGCGTGAACTTTTTTTTGCGCCACCCGGTATATATATATAGTTTTTCGTTTTACCTCAAAAAACCACAACAGTCTGTTTCATCCATATAAGAATCATCAGGTGAAAAACGAAAAACTATATTACGCTCTATCTATATGGTATTGAGCACTGTTTGTGTTTCGTAAACCAAAATCTTAAGCTATATATATATATATATATATATATATATATATATATATATATATATATATATATATATATATATATATATATATATATATATATATATATATATATATATATATATATATAGCTTAAGATTTTGGTTTACGAAACACAAACACTGCTCAATACCATATAGATAGAGCGTAATATAGTTTTTCGTTTTACCTCAAAAAACCGCAACAGTCTGTTTCTATAACAAGTACACTTGGTCAAAAGAAAGTCTACTTGTCATTAAAAAATTGCAAAGCACTGGTGTCACTACACCACGAGCAGTTACTCGGGAGAAAGGAGGGACTGCCAACAACACATCAAGAAACGAAATACGCCCACTTTTCGCTCTTGTCAAGTCTATACGGATGAAACAGACTGTTGTGGTTTTTTGAGGTAAAACGAAAAACTATATATATATATATAGTCTATACGGATGAAACAGACTGTTGTGGTTTTTTGAGGTAAAACGAAAAACTATATATATATATATATATATATATATATATATATATATATATATATATATA